TAAAGGCGCAGAGGTCAGGCTTCTGCACAGCAGAAGAAAGTCAACAAAACGAAACAGCAACCTATCAAAGGAGAGAAAACATCTGCAAACCATCTATCTGATAACCTAACTGACAACCAAAATATATAAGGAATTCATATAACTCAACTCAAAAAAAAAAAAAAACACACATAACAAAGTATCTGATTTAAAAATGGGCGGAAGTGGGGCGCCTGGCTGCCTCAGTTGGTGGAGCATGCCTCTCTTGATCTCGGAGTCGTGAGTTCAGGCCCCACATTGGGTGCAGAGATTACTTAAAAATAAAGTCTTTAAAAAAATGGGCAGAAGAACTGAATAGGCCTTTTTCTAAAGAAGACGTATAAGTGGCCAACAGGTACAGGAAAAGATGCTCAACCTCACTATAAGTGAAACGCAAATTAAAATCGCACGAGATATCACCTCACACCTGTCAGGATGGCTAGTATCACAAAGACAAGAGATAGCAAGTGTTGCCGAGGCTGAGGAGAAAAGGAACCCTTACACACAACTGGAAGGTTGGACAGCTTGTGGTCCCTATGGGGGTAGGCAGGCCTTGGAGGGCAGATGTGGGGGAGGTAGCGGGAGACGTCGGAACCAGGTCAGGGATGGCCTTGAAGACCACGCTAGGGTGCCTAGACTTTGTTTGTTGGGCCATGAGGAGCCACTGAAGGTGTCTGAGCTGAAGAGAGTCAAGATCATGGTATGCTTCAGGATAATCAATAACAAAGAAGAGAAACTCTCAGGCGTGGAAGCTTCCACCTTGTCCTTTCAGAAGGGGAACAAGCACCCTTGAGAATTCTGTGATTTTCCAGAAGCTCTGTTACTTCCCCATGTTTGTGACTTTTCTAGTTCCTTGCAGCAATTACCATGAAGCCTCAAACCAGAAAGAGGCTATGGACCTGCCCCACGCCTGTCAGGCAGAGAAGAACCCTAAGAGGGTGTAAGGAGCTGTTGGAGAGGGCAGGCAAGATACCACCGGGGGCCCAGAGAGAAGGGCCAGGGGCTAAGACAGTGGGAGGAAGTCCCAAGGAGACAGTCTGGCTTCTGTGGTATCCTTAAGTCGCTGCTCGATCTGGAGAAGAGCCAGGCCCCTGCCCAGGCTAAGAGCCCCTCATCAGGCCGTGGAGGCAGCCGTAGCAGATTTTATTCTGAGCTGTGGGACTCTGTCATAGCCCAGAGAAGCCCCGGGACCCCGCTCCAAGAAGAGCCCTCCCCCCTCCCCCGGGATTCCAGGAGCCACACCCTGAGTGGCAGCCAGCAGGCTGATGCCAGGGCCCAGTCTGCTGCTCCCTCCAAGTCTGGGAAATAGCCTTAGAAACTCTCTGAAGAAGGCGGTAGAAGGACACCAGACTGGCAGGCAAGAAACTGCTGTGTGTGAGCTCGGGCCAGCACTCGACGGCGCTGAGCCTCAGCTTCCTCCTCGGGAACTGAGCCCTTGGCTTCTCTCCCAGGCTGATTGTGAGCATCACATGGGACCGCTGTCAGGAACAGCAACGGACCCTGGCAAGGCCCAGGTAGCCAGGGCGAGCTGGGTTTCCCAAGTGGGTGCCCTCTAGATGTGGGCTGGGGGCCAGCCCCCAGGAGCCCCGAAGATCAGCGTCGCAGGCAAGTTCCTGCCTTGGCGGTCTTCTCAGCCCTCTGGTCCCTCCAGGGAGAAAGTCTCCACTCGGTGCCCTCCGTGTTTAACTCTGTTTCACCACTTGTTTGTGGCTTTTCTCTACGAACAGAAGGGGCTCCAGACTTCTTTCAGGAGGTCAGAGTACCTAGCCAGAATTAAATAATGTTGTTTTCATCACTTTTCTCTTCGATTTTCTTAGCTTCTCGGAAGCCTTATGATTTTGCATATTTTAAAGGCAACTTTTAGACTCCAGTAACATTTTAAACGTTTATTCTGTTTACTAAGCAACTCTGTGTCTAGGAATTTAACCCATGGACACAGATACTTACAAAAATGTACAAATACAAATATACTTTACGGGGGCACCTGGGTTACATGTCCGACTTTTAATCTCAGCTCAGGTCTTGTTCTCAGGTCATGAGTTCAAGCCTAGCATGGAGCCTACTTTATAAATAAATAAATAAATAAACAAACAAACTATGAACAGTGGTCATTCCAGCATAACTGAGAACTTGGAAACACTAAATGTCCATTAGTATGGGACTGGTCAAATAATTTATGGCACAGGTATACTTTAAATTATGTGCAGCTCTCATAATGAACACATTACTATCTACACGTACCACTGACCTGTGAGTATGCCCATGATGAACTTAAGAAAAAACAAAAAGTTGCAAAATGGTAGTGGTAGTTTTATTTAAAATTGTACTTATATATTTACACAGATAGGTACAGATATAAAATACAAATATTAGTATAGATGGAAGGGGGGAAGCCCCCGAAGGATATAACTAAATTGTTAATAGTCAAAGGTGAATTTTCCATAAGATAAATTCTTACACACAGAGTTGCTGAATGAAGAAAAGACACATTTACAATGTTACTGGAGTCTAAAATACAAAATACATGAAGAAAAGACTTTCTATGTTATATATTTTGAGAATGGATTTTTTTTATTTTTTTCTTTTTTTTGAGAATGAATTTTTTTAATACAGGCATATGTTACATAAATACTTTTATAAAAGTAATTTTTAATTATTATGAAGTTGAACAGACAAATGAAAGCGGCCTTTAGACCGCGTGCCCTAGCACAGAGGAAGAGCATCAGTGGGGCTTGTGAGCCGTGCATCAGCTGAAGGTTAGGGTCCCACGAGCAATTACCCCTTCCAGTCTTTCCCTCTTTTTCCAGGAACAAGGCCCCTGGCTGTGAATAGGGCAGCGGAAGAATTGTACAGTCCAAGTGGCTCATCCGTCTGGGAGGAAAATTCCAGCTCACCCGTTCCCTTGGACCCGCCTGAGTGGCAAGGCTGGGAGGAAGGAGCCAGCAGAGGCCCCCCCTCCCCGCCGACTCCTGCACGCCCTCCCCTAGCCCTCAGGTTCACTTAGCTCTTTCCTCTTACCCAATCCTTCCCTGCTCTGTCTGGGCACAACAGGTACAGGAAAAGATGCTCAACCTCACTATAAGTGAAATGCAAATTAAATGCAAATTAAAATCGCACGAGATATCACCTCACACCTGTCAGGATGGCTAGTATCACAAAGACAGGTCTGGAGTCTGGAGACAGGGGTTGGGACCCAGGTTTCCCCCGTCCCCAGCTCTGCAACCTTGGCTGAGCGCTTTACCTCCCTGAGCGCTGACTTGGGAGTCAGCCGGGATCCCGTCCCTGCTGCCCTGACCAGATGGCCTTGGGCAGGTCACTTCAAAACCTTCCTGAACTGGCTTCACGTGTAATATGGGGACAGTAGCGGTACCTGGTTCCTAGGGTTGGTGTGAGGGTAAAATGAGAAAATGGGCCAGGACAGGCCTGGCACAGAGTAGCTGCTCAGTGCTCACCGGCTTTTCCTCATCCTTTCTCTCTGTGGCATCATTAACTCCATTCACTGCTGGAGAGATTGAGGCCTGATGTGGTGTAATCTAGCCTAGGTCCCCTAAGGAGCAGACCTGAAGTGGAGGGAGCCCAAGTCTCCTGACCTCCAGACGGAGGCTTGTCCCATGAGCAAGGATAATCCCCGTCTGGAATGTGGGTTGTTTATTCTCTTTCCGGGGGCAGATCCGGGGATTGGCTTATTCATCTTCTATCACAGCCAGGAAAGAGTAGGTCACAGGCTCCGGGTGCTCTCTGCAGCCAGGCCCCCCAGGAGGGTGGGCTTTGTGTGGCCAGGCCATGTAGCGGGTGGGGTTTCCCCTGGCGTGGTTCGGCTGCCCCTGCGTGGGCAGCTGGGCCTGTGAGTCAGAGCGGCCCACGTCTGCCCGCTGGCAGCCACAGCCCCAGGGCCCTGGCGCCAGTCCAGGGAGGCATGTGGTTCCAAAGAGAGGTGCCTGTGCCCCAGAAGCAAACGGAGATGCCCCCTTCCCCACATCGGAGAGAGCAAGGGATGGCCAAGATCACACAGTGAGGTATGATAGATCTTGGGCTGACAGCCGGTTCTACCTTGGGTGACCCCTGCCAAAAGGCCCAAGTGAGGAGGTCAGGAAGCCATAGCCTGGGTCTAAGACCCTTGCACTCTGGCCCTTGCCCCCGTTGGCTCTATTGCCCTGGCCCTGTGGTCTGTCAGGCCTGGCCTGGGCCATGGAGCCTATGGTCAGGATGGAGCTGGCCAGCAGGTACCAGGATGCCTGGCTCATGTCAGCCCCATTCCACTGAGCCGCTGCAGTCGTGAGGGGCCTGGGGCCTGCTGGGTCTGCACCCCGATGCCCGGCCTAGCTAGACTGCCCTCAGAGGCACAGCTGGGCCCTGTTCCCTCCCTGGCCTCACCCTGGCCGCTCCCACCTCCCCTCCCCGCCCACTTTCCTCTCTCTCTTCCTCTTCCTTCTCTAGTTGCCCTCTCTCCTCACTTCTTACTGCTCTCCGGCCCCCATGGGGGCTCTGTCTGCCCTGCTCCTCCTTGAGACCCAGCCACTACTCACCGGGGCCTGGAATCAGGGCTGGAGCGGATGCCTGTCACAAGCCACACCAGCCTCCCTCTGGCCCACGGGCAGAATGGAGGGGAGCACAGGGGGTGTCCCAGCTTACCAGCCAAAGCCAAAGCACATGGTGGGGCGGGAGGGTGGGGCCCGCAGGAGGGGCTCAGGCTTCTCAACAGGAGCCTGTGAACGGTCCGGCCTGTCCCAGAGCCAGGCACTGCAGAGCCCCAAGGGCCTTTCCATTTCCCACCTTGGGAAGCCGAAGCCCAAGGTCCAGGCCGTCCAGCTGCTAGCAGGTGGCGGAGGGAGTGTGCGAACCCCATTTTACAGATGGAACTGAGACTCCGAGCTGCAGGACCCTGTGTGGGGACACTGTGGCTAGGGCTCAGCCCCATCTGCCCCACTCCACTCCTGCCACCTCCCCGGCACAGGGCCTAAACCCGCGAGAGACCACGAAGTCCATGAGTGAGAAGCACCAGGTTTAATATTAAAATCTTTCTCTTAAAAAAAAAAGTACACAGATAGGAAAATTTGATGGCATATAAAATAGCACTTCTGCTGTATAAATGTGAGTTAATGTGAGTCCTAAAAATACTTGTAAACCTAGGTGATTACATCTTTGGTACCGTAGTGAGAACCTCCTCCCTCTCCTGGGCCCGGCAGAGGGGGCTGGTGCCCACTTCTGGCTCTCCTCCTGCCAGGAGTCTTGGCCATGGCTCTCGCTCCCCTGGCACCCCCGCGGCTCACCTAGCTGGGGTATGGTTGGCAGAGGGCTGCGAGCGGGCCTGGGCAGTGACTCCCTCAGGGACCAGGCAGCTGCTGGGTGGGAAGGCAACCCCCAAAGTACCCGCCTCTTGCACCCCTCTCAGGTGCCCTACAAAGCCTTCTTGTACTTTCTGGGGGCCCCCAGGAGCCCTCACTGTCCACGATGTTTGTGGCACAGACTTGGACAGCAGGTGCTGGAGAGCAGACTGCACAAGGGTGTCTGGTCTGCCCCCTCTGTCTCCTTTGCTCAGGATGGCTCCAGAGGTCATTGGTGGGTCTGAGAGGGCCCCGTGGTCTTCCCATGGGGCAGCTGCTGGGGGCTTTCCAAGACACTGGCTGTCACTCCGAGTCAAGATCTGTGCAGCTGGCCTTTTGGGACTTGCTGGGAGTCTGGGGAAGGGGCATAGTTCTGAATGCCCAGAGTGTGATGCATGGTCCAGAATCTCTCCAGACCCCAGCTGACCCCTAGGACGGAGGTTTGGAGTGTTTGGCTTTGCTTCATCTGGGCAAGTGTGCCACCCCCTGCAATATTCGAGAATGTTAGTGCTGGCAGGGCACCAGAAATCAACGAGTCCATCTTGCTCATTTTTCAACAGGGCAAACAGGCCTGGAGAGGGTGAGGAATTCCTCCAAGGTCCCATATCAGGTCCAGTGCGCATATTGATCCACACATGTGGACATTTCTCGCAGGCACATCCACATGCTCATCACAGATGTGGGGCCCGCCTGGCCCTGGAGACTCTGGTGGGTGGAGTGAGACTGGCGGTGATAAGGAAGAAGACCCCGGCACTTATGGGGCCAGGCAGACATGGACACGGGCACTTGTATGGGGAGGTGTGTCCCAAGTGCCTGGGACGGGGGCTGTGGGCCAGAGTGTCCTGGACTTGGCTCAGCCCCCAGCATGAAGCGTGGACGGCCCCAGACCAGCTCGGGCCTGGGAAAGTGGAGATTGGCATCAAGGAGAGGTGGCTTCTGGATGAACATCACTGTCCGAGGCCAGGCCCCTGCTCAGCCAGGAGCCAGGGATGCCAGGGTCCCTTCCCCAGCTCTTAGGTGGATGAAAGTGCGAGGAGAAAGCTACAGCTCCTTGAGGAGTAGCTGGCTGAACAGAAGAACGTTAATTCATACCTCCTGAACCTCGAGAATCTCTCTAGGGATTCCGACCTCCCCACCTGTCAGCCAGGGAGACAGAAGCCCAGATTCTGTGTCACCGGGCCCTGCGCTCCCATCCTACAGATGGAGAAACTAAGTGTCCCGGGAGAACCCTGGCTCCCATCACAGGGCCTCCCCAGAGGCAGGGGCTGGTCGTGACCCCTGCAGCTCTTTTGCCTCCTAAGCCAGCCCCAGCGGCCGGGGTGCCACATGCCAGGGGCAAAAGCTTTCTAGAAAGTGGTAGCTGATGGGAGGCCAGGGCAGGAGGCGCTGGGTGCTGGGAGGTAGAGGGGGAGCTTCAGGTGGGGCAGGGTGGGGCCAGCCCCCTACAGGAAGCTGTCCTCTGCCTCAGCCCGATGCCCAGGGCAGCTCGAGTCCACTGGTGGCTCCAGCTCCGGCTCCACCTGGGGTTCGGGCTCCTCTTGGGGCTCCAGGGGGCTGTCACAGGAGATGGTAGAGGACGTGTTCGCTTCATTCAGGGTGGAGCTAGGAGGAGAAGACAAGTGAGTGAGGGGCTGGGAGGGAGCCACGGTGAGATGATAGCGGCCATCAAGAGCTTTCTGAGTGTTCAAGCGTGCACCATGCACCTCACACCCTTGAGTTCCTCTAAGCCCTGTAAAGACTACACAAGGCAGGCGCCAGGAGGGCAGGGCCTCTCGGACTGGTGATGTCAGTGGCCTGCAGTGCTCAGTGAGACTTCCCAGCAGCAGATCCAGTTGGCTCCGGAGCCCGTTCCTCACTCACCAGCATCTCCGTGCCTGGCACTCCAGAAGGCACTTGCCACCTCACGGAAGCCGCTGACAAGCCCCACATAGATGGGCGCTACGGTTTTCATTTTAGAGAGAACAAAACAGAGGCTCGGGGAGCGGGGGCGGCTTGTGTGAGGGCACCAGACAGGCCGGCGTTCCCCCCCTTAAGCTGTCTGAGCTCTGAGCTGAACTCCTTGGCCGGCTGGCTACCTGGAGCCTGGCAACCTGTGCTCCTAAGGAAGGCGGAGAGGGCCTTCTAGTTCTTGTGGGTGCTCCTAGAGCCCGTGTAGAGACGGAGGCTCGCAGAGACGGGACCTGGCTGGGCCTCAAGAGAGCTGGGGCCACAGTTGGAGCCGGAACCCTGCCTGCAGCCGCTGCCACTTCACCACAGAGTGGATCTGGTGGTGGTGGGGGGGGCAGTCTAGCCTCATGGGAGGGGGGAGACTCTCCTCTCCAGCTGAGGGAAGATCCTGTCTGAAGGTAAAGTCCAGGCAAAGGGTGGGCCTTCCTCCAACCCTCACCCACTGTAACTTTACCACATCCCAAAGGCAAAAAAAAAAAGCACGAATTTCCTTCCCAGTCAGAATTCTGGCCCCAACTCCTGTGGGCACCAGGCCTCCTACAACCACGCCTGGCTCCCGGGGACCCTGAGGACGTGGTGCTGGAGAACAGAGCACAGACCAGGCCTGGTGATGACCCCAAAGTAATACACAGGGTGCTGGGGATGCTGATTAGATTCCCTACTTCTCCTTAGGGCCTGGATAAGGCCTAGGGAGAGGAGCGGAGAGATGGCCTATGGGGGCCACATTCCAGGAAACAACTCTCGTGCAAGTAAGTCCCAGCCTTTCTGTCTCTCACCAGCCTGCCCTTTCCCCCTGAGGTCATCAGAAGTCAAATGAGTTCAGTTCTCCCTTCTGCTCACTGGCAGGAATCAATACTCACCCCAGGTAACTGACTTCTAAGGCAAGCCTGGCGGCATGAAGACAAAGACAGACAGAAACACACACACACACACACACACACACACACACACACTGCACACTATTGCCTTGGGCCTCAGGCCAGAGTGGCTACCTGGCAAGGCTGGGAGAACTCTCCAGGGGGCCCTCATCAGCAACCTCAGGTTTGGGGTCAGGCAGGGGGATGATGTAGTCGTTGTCACCCTCGTTGGGCTGCACAGCCGTGTAGAGGACAGAGCTGGTGTCCAGGGGGGATCGGAGGCCATGGAAGCCAGGCAAGCGGGCTTGGGACCGAAGGACGGCTGGGTGGTCGCTCCTCAGAAACTCCTCATCCACCTGCTGGTACTTCTGCTCCACGGGGAGCGAGAATGGGAGAAACAGGGAGGGTCAGACCAGAAATGCCCATGGGGATAATCTACCATTCGACCCTGGCCTGGCCCCTCCTGCCTTGTGTGAATTAGGCAACTGGTGCTCAGAGCAGAAGGGGAATTGCCCAAAGCCACACACAGCTGGGTGGCTCTCCCAGCTGTCATCGCACAAGACCAGGTGAGCTCGGGGCCACCCAGGGAGGGGACAGTCAGCAGACTAGTGCCCGTGACCCTGGCACTTCCCCTACTTCAGAGTAGACAGGTGTGGGCTCTCACCTTGCCTCAGCCTCCTGCAGTGCGGCCTCAGTTTCCCTAGCTGCTAAATGGTGACAACCCAGTCCATCTCACTGGGCGCTGAGCTGTGACTGAACGTGGGTGGGAGTGCGGTTAGGAACGGGTCAGGGGGAAGGGGACGTGCGTCACTCCTCCCTGTAACTCCCTCTGGTGGACAGGCCGGGTTTTAAGGCCCTACTGGCTCCATTTGCCTTGACTGAGCCTGCAACAGGCTTAAATGGTCAGGCCCTTAGCAGACAGGTAGCCTGAGCCTGCTCCGACTTCTGAAGGAGCCCCGGGCCTTGGCATGGGTGTAAAGGCATGAGGAGGGATGCAGGATGAAGGGGGCTGTGGGCATTGGCTTCCACACAGGATTTCCATTTCAAAAGCCCTGTGCTGCTAAAATAAATTCAACTCACAGCTCCAGCCCATCCCTTACTAGTACCAGCAGGGAAACTGAGGCCCAAGCAGGTACAAGGTGGTCCCTCAAATACCAGCATGACACATAGAGCCCTGTACCCAGTGTCTGATTTCCGGGCCAGAACTCTCCGTTTTGCTGCCTCAACATACCTTTTTGTACCCCTCGCCTAGCAGCCTCTCAAGGAGCAGCACCAGCTGGGAGAAAGGAGGCCGGATCTCAAACTTCTCTTCCCAGCACTTTTGCATGATCTCATAACTGGGGAGAGGCAGAGAGAGAGTCAGGGTCTCTGGCTCGGGGTCTGCTGCCTCCCAGAACCAGGTGAGCAACGAAGGGAGTTGGGGAGGACAGGTGGAGAGGGACTGTTTTTCCTGTTTCCTGAGCAGGCCCTCCCCCCATTGGTGGTTCCATGGGGCGGGCCACCTTGTTGAGCACATGACCCAGGTCTGGCTGGTAGGAGTTTTCATGGCTCTCAGTTCAATGGCTGGCTCTGGATGGGCACGTGACCCCAGCTGAGCCCTTGACAGTCAGCTTGGGGCCTTTTGCCCGAACTATGGTGAAAGCAGTGCGCAGGTAGCCATTAGGCCTGCAAACGCGGCCAGCATGGAGGAAAGCAGGGCCGGGTAGAACCAGAATCCTGATGACAGCATCTGAACACCGAGATCCAGCTATACTGAGGTTTTTCTAGATCTCTGGACTAATCTATTTTTGCCTTAAGCCAGTTAAGTTGGATATCTACTGTTTGCACCCAAAAAATCCTCCCAAACGCTCCACTCACATCTCGTCAGAGGCGTGGGCAGGCTGGGCCATGCGGTACCCCCGCTTGATGGCATTATAGAACTGCTCGTTCATGGGCAGCTCTGGGTAAGGGGTGCCACCTGCAGAGAGCAGAGACAAGAGATATACAGGCTCAGAGGTGTTGAAGAATGGCAGGTACCCTATTCTATGGGACAGACAGGCACACCAGCCCTAGAATGGACAAGGGTATAGCGGCCTTGGCACTGAGAAATGTGAGCCCCCTTTAGAGGCTCGGGACAGAGACTGCAACCTTCCCCAGAAACAGAGAACCAGAGAACACCAGAATCAAGTAAGCTTTCTGATGTCGCTTCCAAACCCATCCATAATCAGCTGGGGAAGTAAAGAGACCCAGAGAGGACAGGGACTTGCCAAGGTCACATAGCAGCAAGAAAGCAGCAGAGAGGCTTGACTGGAACCAGAGCCCTGCCCCCTGCCCCAGAGCCTGTCCCCACAGCCCCGCCAGGCTGGAGGTATGAGTGGTCAGGGTGGAGGCTGTGCTGTGCCCCTGAGGGCTGGGGGGAAAGGAAGCATACCCAGGGTGAAGATCTCCCAGAGTAGGATCCCGAAGGACCACACATCGCTCAGGGTGGTATAGAGGCTGTTGAAGATGCTCTCGGGAGCCATCCACTTCAGAGGCAGGAAGGTCTGTGGAAGGGCAGATGGTACGAAGTATAAGGAGGGCCAAGCCCCACTCTGCACCTGGCAGTTCCTGCTCCAGCCCCTGGCTCCCCGGGCCCTGAGAGCCGGCTTCTAACAGGCATGCAGATCCCACAGCCATCCCAGTACTGGCCAGAGGACCGGAAGGCCAAGGTTCTTTACCCACAGCTGGTGACATGGTGCTCTTATCCCTGAGCAAGAGCCCCAGGGTCTGCGGCCCCTCTTCCTCACCCCAGGAGAGACCCCTGGCTTGGTAGAGAGCAGGAGAGCCAGAGACACGCCAAGGTACCACCCAGCTGTGACCTGGCCACCTTCGATCTCTGGGGTCTAGAGTCCCTCCAGCTCTGGGATTCACTGTCCCCTTGTGGAAAGTGGGAACATGAGTGGCAGGCAGGATGGTCACGTGTTAACCAAATACACATTTGACCTGCTCCGTTTCCGCCCTTCCCAGGACCCAGTACAGCTGGTCCCTCACCTCCTGTCGTGACCAATGAATCTGAGCCCTGGGCTCACCCTCCCACCCTTAGCATCTCCACCCCACTCCGAACAGCTGGTGGCTTCCCGTCCTGGGCCTGCACACATGGCTAGGCAGGCCAAGCCTGTCACCACTGGACAGGTCAGGTCACGGGGAGCTCCGTCCTGATCTCCCCTGTGCCACAGCCATGCTGGCCGGGAGAGAACCTGTTCCCAGGGTCAGAGACACACGGGATCAGGCAAGGTACTCACACTGCCTTTGGAGATATAGTTCGAGTCTCGCATGATGTCACGAGCCAGGCCGAAGTCACAGATCTTGACCAGCTTGCCCTCACAGATGAGCACATTTCTGGCTGCCAGATCTCGGTGGACACACTGGGTTGGGGGGGATGGGAGCTGAGGCCTTGGAGGCAGTTGTGGGGAAAGACCTGCCTGTCAAGGGCTTTGGGGAAAATGTATCACCACACAGATGTGAGAGGCCACACAGGTGAGAGGGGCCACATGGTGAGGGCGTTCACTGTCCTCATCCACCAGACGGGACGTCACTGCCATATGGAGCTGTGTACTTGGAGGACCCTGGCTGGCTGGGTGGCCCACCTCCCCATCC